TGCAGGGCCAGGGGTGCACTGACCCGGGGTTGGGTGCAGGATCCTGCAGGATTTTGCAGAATCCTTCGCGTGGACCCGGGTTTGGGTGCAGGATCTTGCAGGATCCTGCATGCTCTGACTGACCCGGGTCTGGATTGACCCGGGTCAGAGGATCCCCGAGGTGGACAGAACCCCCAACAGTGACACGTCGATTCGTGAATTGTCCGTGTTCGTTTCTCGATCGAGGGCGCCGCGGCCGTTATTTTCCAGGGGCCTGCGCCCGCCAGGTTTGGGCCTCGGGTCGCTTTCACCAAACCACGTTTTGCTAAAGGGGGGTCTGTCCATCCCCGATTCTTGCGTCTGGCGTTGTGTCGGGCGTGTCCCCCTACAGGGGGGATTGTCGACGAGAAATTAAAACGACCCCCAAAATAGGAAAAAAATCGTCAACAAATAGTCGGGGTACTATTTTCGGAGTATTTATTTACCTTTTGGAGGCATTTTTGGTGTATTTTTTATTTTTTCGTCGAAAATCCCGCCCTGTAGGGGGACACGCCCGACAGAAGTCTGGCGGTCATGCGAGGCGCCTGCGGTCGGGCCGAAGCATGGGCTCGAGGCCGGCTCGGGGAGGGTGCCCTGATGCTCTCCGCGCTTGTCGGATGCTCTTGCGCATCCCGGGGGAGGGCACCCTCGGAGGTGCTGCGGGTTTGGCCGGCGGAGGGCCTCACGTGCTTCGAGGACGTCGTCTCCGTCCTGGGTCCGGCCCACGGGGGTGACTGGTGGGCGGCAGGCGGGGGGCGTGAGCGGCTAGTTGCCGCTAGTCTATTTGCCCCGACTTGCCGCTATAATCCACCAGCGTCTTGACTGAGACAGGCTTCCATGGCACCGAACGTAGCGCTGCTGCTCTCGATGTCGGCCCGCTCGCCCCCGAGAGCACCAAACTGACCTCCAGCGTGTATCATCTATCTTGCCCGTTCCCCTCCACCGCAATATTCGCTGCTCCTGCTTGCGCGCTCCATTCTGCCGCTCGCAGCACTTGCGGTGCAAGACGTTTATCACGCGAAACGGTGGGAGGAACGGTTCAGGAGCAGTGGGAAGTGGGAGGGAGAATTGCGCATTGGAGGGAGAAAGGGGGAGGGGGGGCAGTCAAATGTCTCACGCGCCACTTCACCCTCGACAAGCGGGGGTCGGCGGATTGAACATGAGCAATTGTGTAGTCTCTCTTCAACTCGTGGCTTTTCAATCGGGATTTCAACATTGTGTGTGCCGTGCGAGTGATTTTTCCAGTCGGAACGTCTTTGACCGTTCTGAATGTCGCTCTGGCCTTGGTACCTGCCACATCCTGTTCAATTGCAGTGGAGGCCCATACCAAGACACACCCAACCCGCCTCCAGGGTGCAATGGGTTTCTTGGGTTTCGATAGTTCTGCTGTGGAAGGCGTGCCGTTCCCACACCGAAAGTCAATGGACGTCCTGGGGTCTCAGGGCTGGGTTTCCTGTAGAAGGTTTCTTGTTGACTGGCCTCCACTGCATTCATTGTGAGCACTACCTCTCCGACGTAACGACGGTCGTGACGAGTGCCTCCCGGGCTCCCGACCCCTTCTGCCGCATCAGCTTTTCGCCTTCCAGCCTTCTTCGAGCGCCGTTTGGGCCAGACGCTGTGCCCAGGGGCACAGGGTGGAGCAAACACGCTGGGGGCAACAGGCCACTCCGCCAGACGCCAGGGGGCAGAGGCAACGACGATGGCGCCCTCTTCGCCGCCGACCGGGGCACTCCTGGAAGCGCGGCCTGCGGCAGCAGCGGGAGCCATCACCTGCAGTCAACCCGCACAGTACAGTGCCGTTTCAAGACATGCTCCGCGTGCGGATCATGTATTAAAGATGCAGGGGTTTAGTAGTAAAAACAATGATGAGTTCATGCGTAAATTTATTCATAAATAAATCATGTATCCTATATTTAAAAAATCCTACGCATTAAAACCTGCCCTGTAAGGAGGGGCAACCTTCCCAAGGGTGCCGTGGCAGCCTCGCCTCGCCCCCTCGGCCGCTCTCGCTGGCCGCGCCCCTCTCGCAGGGTGCCGACATGGCCTCCCGAGGCCCTTGCAGCCTTACTGCGCATCCTCATGATACGCAGGAGGGAAAAACGCACGCTCGATTCCCAGGAAATTATGGAAAATATGGGAAGTGGGGGGGAAGACGAGAATCTAGAAAGTATGAGAAAATGTCGGGAATCCTCGGATTTGTGTGTATTTTGTTTGCGTGTCCCTGGGCCCCCTCAGATGACACGAGTTGACTGCATCGTCGTCGTCGTCGTCCAGGGAACTCTGCAATCCCGGCGCGGCCCGCCGCAATCAGCACCGGCGCCGTCACCTACAAGGTGCCGCCCTCGAGCTACGTTCAGGCACCCCGCCGCGCCCTCGTGGACGCCTCCCTCTTGGACGCCTCCGACTTGAAGATTTTCGAGCGTTTTCGTAGGTCCTCGACAGCTTTCCAGCTTTCTGAGAGGCGTCCAGGGGTGCCCGGATCGTCCCAAATGGCCGCCGGATGTCACGACGAGGATCAACGGGGGGGTGACAGGCTCTGGGGGGAGACGCAGATCGACCCCCAATCGCCCGTTCATCGCCGACTTAGGGGTCCGATAGCCCATTCCCCGCCCAGGAGCGTGCGGTCATTCGCTCTAGGGGGCCTATCGCCGACCTATCGGCGACGTATCGCCGATTCCACGTCGGCGTTTCCCCCCCCCCTTCGCCAGTCCTTGGGGAGGGAGCTGGGACAAAAACAAGTCCGTTCCAGGGCGTTCTGGATCGCTCTCAGAGCGTTCTGGAATGCTCCGAGAAGCCGCGGCGCCCGATACATATTCCAGACCCGCCCGAGCTCAGAGATTCTTGATTTGTTTGAGCCGCGCGAAGTGGGGGGGCGATCATTGGGGTGCAGCGAGGGGCCCAGAGAAAAGTAGCCCTTCAGGGTCCCTGAAGGGGCCGTTTGGGGTCTGGAAGGGGTCTTTCCGGGCCCGAAGAAGTGTACCTCCCATCCCCCCCCCCAATTTATCGCCTTCTCGTCAAGCGGCGCCCAGATTTGTCCTCATCCGGATTTGTCCTCGTCTTGGCTGCGTCTGAAGTCCCTCCCCGCGCCCCCCCGCAGCCAGCCTTCGTCACGCTAGCGCCCCAGACTTCCGACGTCCCGAGATGTTCCCCCCGGCGGGTTCTGTTTGGCACCCGGGTTCGCGTAGTGGGCTCCCAGCGTATACGCAGCGCTGCACTGACGAAGGTGTGAGCTGCACGGGGCGCCTGTGCTCCTTTGTGCCGGTGCGCCGTCTGGGCGCCATGTTTGCTTGCTTTTTAATTATGGGGTCTCTCAGGGCACCCTCGCAGGGCTCATCTCGACTCCTCCGATGCGCCTCGGTTTCGATCGGCTGCGGTGCCGATTCGATTCGGCTTCGGATTTCGAATTCGATTCCTCATTCCCCATGGAGGATTCACCAGCCTGTCGATTCCCACCGATTCGAAGTCTCCCGAGTTGCCGGCCGATTCCCGCCGGCCCGGTTCGTTTGGGTCGCCGGTCCGGCGTCGGTTCGGTATTGGGCTTCCTTGCTCTCATGGCCACGGATGGATCCGCCCTGAAAGCTCTTGCCAGAGCGGCGCCCAGGAGGTCCAGGGTTACGATGTTCCAACTTGCTTTTGCCTTGATGACCAGAAAGAATTTCGAGCACCAAGGAAGTACCGACACTCATGGGTTTTCACGTGCTGGGCCCTGGGAGACACTCATCCGACACTGCTTCGACACTCTTTCGACACTCTTCTGGGTGTTCGAAATTATTTCTGGGATGTGGTCCGTAAGTGCGATGGGAGCAACATTAGTCCAGGGTTCGATCGCCGAGGTTTCTAGCCACGCCACGGTCAGCCTCCCCGGGGCCGTGATCAGGTTCCAGGTTGGTCGGGATCGATTCGGGACGGAAACCGGAGGAGGAGGAGGAGGAGGAGGAAGAGGAGGAGGAGGAGGAGGAGGAGGAGGAGGAGCAGGCGGGGGGGGGGAGGAGGAGGAGGAGGAGGAGGAGGAGGAGGGAGGAGGAGGAGGAGGAGGAGGAGGAGGAGGAGGAGGAGGAGGAGGAGGAGGAGGGAGGAGGGAGGAGGGAGGAGGGAGGAGGGAGGAGGGAGGAGGGGAGGAAGGGAGGAGGGAGGAGGGAGGAGGGAGGAGGGAGAGGGAGGAGGGAGGAGGGAGGAGGGAGGAGGGAGGAGGGAGGAGGGAGGAGGGAGGAGGGAGAGGAGGGAGGAGGAGGAGGGAGGAGGGGGGAGGGGGGAGGGGGGAGGGAAGGAGGAGGAGGAGGAGGAGGAGGAGGAGGAAGAGGAGGAGGCGGAGAATCCAGGGTTGGACAGAGCCCCCACCCTGACACGTCGATTAATTTGTGAATTGTCCGTTTGCGGTTCTCGAGAGAAGCGGTCGAGAGCTTCAGGAGCCACGCGCTGAAAAAGTCAGGACTTCGGAGGTCCGCGGGAGCTCTTGGTTCCTCCAAAACGAGCGTACACATTCAGCAAACACGGGGATATCCTAGATTCGCACATTCCCAAAGTAGTTTTTGCACTGAAGAGGGCTCTTACTTCCGTTCAGAGCAGCTGGCCTTGAGCGGCCTGGTCGGGCCAGTGCCGCCGTCGCAGGGGCGGGACGTGAGTGTGGACGTCGCTGTGAACGGTTTGGAATGGATTTGCACGTGGAGACCGCACTATCCACCGGCGATAGCGGGCGTGAATCTAGGGGGGAGGGGGAGATTGGCATTTGCAGGTCCCATGTCCTGTCTGCGTTCTCGCCGTGGTCGCAGAAGAAAAACAAAATACACAAATTGCCGGAGTTCCACGCGGATTCCTCGGATCGGCGCTGGGGCCCCCTTGGCGGCGCCTCGAAATCCGAGAAACCCGCGCGGACCTCAGAGTTTTTGTGTTTATGCCAGGGTTTGTTCAAGGGAGGGAGCGGGCTCGCGTCACGAGTCGCGCCTGCGCCGGCAGGGAACGCCTATAGGAGTGGCCGAGTCCTAGACGGCGCCAGCGCGAAGCGAGGCGTGGCCAGGGGAGGGGCGAAGGGGGTGGGGGCGGGGCGGGTCACGGGCGGTGCCGCGAGTAATAAACAAAACATGGGAGCATAGGCTTAAGTCGGGCCTGTCCCCCTACAGGGGGATTTTCGACGAAAAACAATTATGCTAACGGAGTTCCCCACATAAAGATGTTACGGGGTTCCATTGCTTCTTGTCTGCGCTCTGGTGGGTGGGAGGGGCACGAAACCTGATGAATAATATGGTGTGCGAATACCCTGCCCGCTCTGGTGGGGCCTCCCTGGAGGGGTGGGAGGGGCACGAAACCTGATAAATAATATGGTGTACGGATACCCTGCCCGCTCTGGTGGGGCCTCCCTGGAGGGGTGGGAGGGGCACGACACCTGATAAATAACATGGTGTGCGAATACCCTGCCCGCTCTGGTGGGGCCTCCCTGGAGGGGCGGGAACGGCACGAAACCTAATAATAAAATATGGCGTGCGAATACCCTGCCCGCTCTGGCGGGGCCTCCCTGGAGTGGCGGGAGGGGCACGAAACCTGATAAATAATATGGTGTGCGAATGCCCTGCCCGCTCTGGCGGGGCCTCCCTGGAATGTTGGGAGGGGCGCGAAACCTGATAAATAACATGGTGTGCGACCACCCTTCCCGCTCTGGTGGGGCCTCCCTGGAGGGGTGGAGGGGCACGAAACCTGATAAATAATATGGTGTGCGAATACCCTGCCCGCTCTGGTGGGGCCTCCCTGGAGGGGTGGGAGGGGCACGAAACCAGATAAATAACATGGTGTGCGAATACCCTGCTCGCTCAGGCGGGGCCTCCCTGGAGGGGTGGGAGGGGCACGAAACCTGATAAATAACATGGTGTGCGAATACCTTGCTTGCTCAGGCTGGGCCTCCCTGGAGGGGTGGGAGAGGCACGAAAACTTATAAATAACATGGTGTGCGAATACCCTGCTCGCTCAGGCGGGGCCTCCCTGGAGGGGTGGGATGGGCAGGATACCTGATAAATAACATGGTGTGCGAACACCCTTCCCGCTCTGGTGGGGCCTCCCTGGAGGGGTGGGAGGGGCACGAAACCTGATAAATAGCATGGTGTGCGAATACCCTGCTCGCTCAGGCGGGGCCTCCCTGGAGGGGTGGGAGGGGCACGAAACCTGATAAATAACATGGTGTGCGAATACCCTGCTCGCTCAGGCGGGGCCTCCCTGGAGGGTTGGGAGGGGCACGAAACCTGATAAATAACATGGTTTGCGAATACCCTGCTCGCTCAGGCGGGGCCTCCCTGGAGAGGTGGGAGGGGCACGACACCTGATAAATAATATGGTGTGCGAATACCCTGCTCGCTCAGGCGGGGCCCCCCTGGAGGGGTGGGAGGGGCACGAAAACCTGATAAATAACATGGTGTGCGAATACCCTGCTCGCTCAGGCGGGGCCCCTCTGGAGGGGTGGGAGGGGCACGAAACCGGATAAATAACCTGGTGTGCGAATACCCTGCCCGCTCAGGCGGGTCCTCCCTGGAGGGGTGGGAGGGGCACGAAACCTGATAAATAACATGGTGTGCGAATACCCTGCTCGCTCAGGCGGGGCCTCCCTGGAGGGGTGGGAGGGGCACGAACCCTGATAAATAACATGGTGTGCGAATACCCTGCTCGCTCAGGCGGGGCCTCCCTGGAGGGGTGGGAGGGGCACGAAACCTGATAAATAACATGGTGTGCGAATACCCTGCTCGCTCAGGCGGGGCCTCCCTGGAGAGGTGGGAGGGGCACGAAACCGGATAAATAACATGGTGTGCGAATACCCTGCTCGCTCAGGCGGGGCCTCCCTGGAGGGGTGGGAGGGGCGCGAAACCTGATAAATAACATGGTGTGCGAATACCCTGCTCGCTCAGGCGGGGCCTCCCTGGAGGGGTGGGAGGGGCACGACACCTGATACATAACATGGTGTGAGGAAAGGCATGGTATGGTATGGGATGGTTGATGCATGGTATGGTATGGTAAGATATGGTATGGAGTGGCATGATATTGGTATGGTATGATACAGTATGGGATGGTGGAGGAAGCGGGAGGAGGAGGAGGAGGAGGAGGAGAGGATGTTTTGGGAAAACAAGAACCCCACTCAGGATGTGGGGAGAAATACACCAAAAATAATCAAAAAAATAATCCAAACATGGTATGGGGACTATTTTTTTAGTATTGTTTTACCTTTTTGGGGTGGTACCGCGAACAATAAACATGAAGGGGCCCTGGGACACACAAATAAGTACGCACACATAAAAAGATTCCCTATTTTGTCCCATGTTTTCTGGGTTTTGTCTTCCCCCCCACTTCCCATACTTTCCCATATTTTCTGGGAATCGATGAGTAATTGTGTCTGTGCGTTTCTTTCCCTCCTGAAAGCAAAACACGGGAGCGCAGGCTCGGGTTTCCAAGTGGGTTTGGGCGTGACGCGGCCGAAGAGAGAGTCAGTAGTTAGCGGGCAAGAGGGAGATTGGCACTTGCTGGTCCCATGCCCTGTCTGCGTTCTCGCCGTGGTCGCAGAAGAAAAAACATCATGCGCAAATTGCCGGAGTTCCACGCGGATTCCTCGGATCGGCGCTGGGGCCCCCTTGGCGGCGCCTCGAAATCCGAGAAACCCGCGCGGACCTCCGAGTTTTTGTGTTTATGCCATGGCTTGTTCCCATAGGAGGAGGGGGAGGTCGGGAAGGATGAGTAGGAGAGAAGCGAGCGAATGGAGGAGGAGGAGGAGGAGGAGGAGGAGGAGGGGGAGGATACTGGAGGATATGGGAGAAAGAGGGGGAAGAGGGGAGGAGGTGGAGGAGGGAGGAGGGCTGTTTTCTTCACCGCCAGCGGTGCTTGTGCCAAGCAGACGGGCCCTGCGTGGCGTGATCGGGCCGCGGCCGCCCCTCCCTGGGGGCCCGCGCACCGTGGCGCCTGGAACTCCTGGCGGTTCCTCTGTGATGGTGCGTGCACGGCGGGGGCTCCCATCCTAGGGCAACGAAAAGTGACACAAGCATAAAAACTCGGAGGTCCGCGCGGATTTCTTGGATCGGCGCTGGGGCCCCCAGGCGGCGCCTCCGGCGCCGCCCCTGGCGCGCTCCGCGCGCCAGGGAGGGGGGTCCAGCGCCGATCCGAGAAATGGCTCCGAGAAATGGCTCCAGCGCTCCACGCGCCAGGGAGGGGGGCTCCCATCCCTCGAGCAGTGGCGAAGCGTCCTGGCCGGCCCACGGGCCCACCACTGGCCGTTCAAGTAGCCTCTTGTGGTTTGCACGAGATGTTCTTGGAACACGTATGTTCGAGACGGTCTTGTTTCAGCGCATCGGGTTTATGTTCTAAGATACTGTTTCTGTTGTTCGAGCACTTCTGGGTTCTAGGAGCATGTCGTGGAAGGCCTATAGGAATGCCGGGACGGTCGGTCCCGGCTCAAGATTGTGCGTGCACGGCGGAGGTTTCCATCCCCCTTTGTCTTTCCCGCGGCCGTCCGGCAAACCCCCCCTTTGCACCCTTTCTTTCTTCAGGCCTCCCAGATGGGGTCGGAGCAGATGGGGTCGGAGGATCGCGCCGCATCGCCGATGCATCGCCGATGCGACTCGATGTGCAGCCCGCTTCGCTCCACGTCGACGTCGCCGACGCATCGCCGATGCATTGACGATGCGGCGCGATCCTCCTCTTCCTCCTCCTCCTCCTCCTCCTCCTCCTCCTCCTCCTCCTCCTCCTCCTCCTCCTCCTCCTCCCCCTCCTCCCCCTCCTCCTCCCCCTCCTCCTCCTCCTCCTCCTCCTCCTCCTCCTCCTCCTCCTCGTGGCAGGCCTCACAGACAGTGAGGAGGCCAATCCATAACTTCCCGCAGGGGTCTCACAAGCGATCTAGTTGAGAGGAGCTTTGACCCCCTAGCGCCTGCCTTGCCTTGCCTTGCCTCCCCCTCCCCCTCCTCCTCCTCCCCCTCCTCCTTCGCCCCCTCCTCCCCCTCTCCCCTCCCCCCTCCTCCTCCCCTCCTCCTCCTCCTCCTCCTCCTCTCCTCCTCCTCCTCCTCCTCCTCCTCCTCCTCCTCCTCCTCCCCCTCCTCCTCCCCTCCTCCTCCCCTCCTCCTCCTCCTCCTCCTCCTCCTCCTCCTCCTCCTCCTCCTCCTCCTCCTCCTCCTCCTCCTCCTCCTCGATCCTCCCCCATCCCCATCCTGCTCGGACTCCACCCGGGAGGCCCCGCGCTGCTGCCCGGCGCTCGGCGCCCGCCGCCTCCCCGGCCTGCGCCGAGCGCGCGCGCGCGGCCCCCGCCCTCTGCCCCCCGCCGCGGCTGCACGGCAGAGGGGCACGGCGGGGGCGCCCGGCCCAGACCCCCTCGGGTAACGAAAAAATCATGACGGGATGTTTTTGCTAATTTTCGGCCTCTGGGGGCCCTCACCGGGCCTCGGGAGCGTCGAAAAACGACTCAGGATGCAAAGCCGGTCATGGGGAAAGGGTCCAGACCTCTGGGGGTCGACGTAATGAAAAAGTCATGACGTCGGGGGTCTGGGGGCGGCTCGTGTGCGGCGGGCTCGCGCGGCGACGGCGCGGCGGCGAGGCCGGTTACGAGGGCGTTCGAGGTGGGATCCTGTGGCGCAAGCATCGGGCCGGCGGCCGAACGAAAGGGGGGACAGGGAAAGGGGGGGGGGTACGAAATCTGCTGCGTGCAGCTGGTTTCGGCCCCGCCGCCGGGCCCATTCCTCGATGCAGGGGCGCCTTCTGGCGCCGGGAGGCGCCAGGGAAATCAGCTACGTGAGCTGATTCTCACCCCCCCCCTTTGCTATCCCCCCCTTTCGCCCGGCCCGAAAGCAGTGGCGAAGCGTCCTGGCTCGCCTATAGCCCCACCAAGCAATGCTCTAAGAACTTCTTGCGGTGCCCACGAGATGTTCTTGGAACAGTGCTGGCGGAGATTGTCCTGGTTTATCGCATGGGGTTTATGTTCTAAGAACCTTGTTTTTGTTATTCGAACATGTTGGGGCTCTAAGAACATTTCGTGGTAGGACTATAGGAATGCCGGGACGGTCGGGCCCTGCTCAAGTGACGCGGGAGCGCCGAGGGACACGGTGACGCCATGGGGCCCGTCGGAATTCGGCCTTGTGAACGATCGGGGCCGAGACAGTCCAAGGTTGGACGATCGGCGCGGTGTCAAAAAAGAGCCTGTGCGTGCGCCGACGCCGCACGAGCCTACCGTGCTCCGATGCCGTTCGCGTCGGCTCCTCTGTCAGAGCGGTTCACCATGGCACGAGATGTGCGCCCCTGGATTTGCGATGTCTCGAAGTGTTGTGGGTCGCCTCAGGGGCCTCCAGCGTTCCCCCTGCATGCTGGGAGCCTCCAGAGTCCCCTCCACAGGAGGAGGAGAGATGAGGAGGAGGGGGAGGAGGAGGAGGAGGAGGAGGAGGAGGAGGAGGACCAGGAGGACCAGGAGGACCAGGAGGTGGAGGAGGAGGAGGAGGACGGCGGCAGCGACGACGACTGTTCCCAGACATCGACTGTTCGTTGCATGTGAGTATCGCACGCTCGCTCCGGGTGAGCCGCGAGCCTGCGCCGCCGATGCGCCCCCCCTTTCCGAAAGGCATGGTGCACATCTTCGCTGGGCACGGCCAACAGGCTGCGGCAGATCACGAAAAGGATCTCGACACCCACGATCGATCTGCCTCCCTTCGCCCGGAGGAGAGGATAACGTGTTGGATAGATTCGGCATTGCTTGGGCCTTTGAAGTCATTCGGGGGGGTCCTCCCTGATCTGTTGGCACGACTTCTTTGACGCTCGCGCGGCCTGGCTATATTTCAAGTTGCAGTTGCGCGTCTGAAGTTCACCCGGTTCGCATAACTTGAGACGGTGGTGCAACAACAAGAGGCAAGTAGTGCGTCTGACACGTGTGTTGTAGCTGCGTTTGGACTATGCCAGCTCATCCAGGAACGATGCCCAGGGGGGCCCAGGGCAGCTACCCTAATCAAGGGAGTGCAGCATCACCGTGATACCCCGGGGAGCCTCAGTGGGCCAGAGGCCTTTCGGATGCCTCCTGGAATCTTGTGGTGTGTCTCCTGGGGGTGTAGTGATAGCCTTCGGGGACGTCTTGGGGGCCTCTTGCTGGCTTCTAGGGGTCTTCTTGGAGGCCTCTGGGGACGTCTGGGTGCCTGTGTGGCCCCTTTCTTGGGGCCTTTTGGGGCCCTCTTGGGGCTCTCTTGTCTTGCCCCCCAGCCAATCGTTTTTCCCGGTCTTGGGGCTACCTTGGAGACTCCTTGGGCGCTCTTGGGGGTCGTTAGGGGCTCTCCTGGAGCCCTCTCAGGTTCGCCGAGCGCGTTCCACTACTCGCAAAGTGCCTACTCACAAACGTCCGAAAAACCATACGTCAGACTTTGTGTGATGCATGGTAAGTCTCCCGCGGCGGATCCAGGCCGTTTGCGATTAGCTACTTTGCGAGTAGTGGAACGCGCTTGTCAACAGGTGTCTCTTGGTGCATTCTGGGGGGCCTTGGGGGCCCTCTTGGGGTCATTTTGGAGGCCGTCGAGCCAAAATAGGGAGCGGCGTAGATTCGGGCATCCCCGCCTGAGCCCGAACTTCCGCCTTTGGGGCCCCACGTCTGCCGCTCTTGGGGCGGGCTTGGCGCGCTTGGGGCCATCTTGGGACCCTCATGGGCTCCTTTTGGGGCTTTGTTGGGCCATCTTGGAATTATCTTGGGGCCTCAAGAGCCCATCGGAAGCGAAAAGGCGAGAAGGCCAAACACATAGAAAAACAATATGGTGTTGAAGGCTGTTGGCCTCCTGGGGGCCTCCTTGGGAGGCTTGGAGGGCACTTGGGACCGTCCTGGGGCGATTTTGAGGGCTCTTGGAGGCATGCTCGAGGCTATCTTGAACCATCTTCGGGTATCTTTCGCGACCAGGAAGCCAGCTTGGGCTCTCTGGCGCCATCTTGGAGCTACCTGGGCCCAAACAGGACCCTCTGACACCTCATGGGGGAGAGTTCTAGACCCAGGTGTCGGTGACACCCTCCCCGAAGGGGAAGAATAGGGGTTGGCAGAACGAGCTCCCTAGACCACACACGCCCGAAAGTGCTGGTGGGATTTGCAACACTCAGGTTCTATCCAAGTATGAGAGCACCGAGTGCATCAATTGACGGCGGATATGGCGCAGTGGTGTCCTCAACATCATGGAATGTTGTAGAAAGCCAGGGTGTACGACGGTTTGCCTGGCGCATCGTATTTACAGTCGCTTGCAAGTGATTATCTGAAGGATGTGCATAGACCTTCTGTTTTGAGGGGAGGCCAATGTTGCATATGTAGTGTCATCGTTGTGTTTTCTCTCAGTGGTCTTCCTGCCCGTGGATATCACACGCCTCTTAGTAGATCATCCGGCACCGGAGTACACTCTCAGCTTTGCTCTCGGTGTCATTGCAGTGCATGTTCTTACGTTGAAACTGATTCGTTGTTGTGCGTGTGAGGTTTATTTTCCCTTCGACGACGTTGCCTACCTTGTCAGTAGACAACGGCCTCACTGTGTCGGCCGGGAACTTCGACCACTCATCCAGCTCTGGTACTTTTCAGACTGGGAGTGGAGACATCACCCTGAATGGGAACGTTGCCCAGTCCACTTCGTCGGCATATACCTTTGAGACTTCGACCGGCGCCGTGACCCTGAACGGAGCCACCACTGTAGCTGACAACACTGCCTTCACAGTGGGCAGCTCGACCGCCGGCGGCGCCTCCACCTTCTACGGAGCCGTGAACATCGGTGGGTCTGCCAGCGGAGCATCTGTCGCCAGCTTATCGTCCGCCGAACGGGACCCACCCAGTCGTGAGAACCTCCCAAGCCCGCACCCCAAGTTAAGCCCCAAACCCGACCCTCTAGAAATCAGACCGCCCTCCCTTCATTTCGGGAAGGAGAGTAGAATTCAGGAGGGAAACTTCACACAGACACAAACAGTCGTCAATTCCCATACTATAGGGAAATTATGGGAGGCGGAGGGGAAGACGAACATCCAGAAAATATTGAAAATGATACCGGGGAGTAACCCCAATAAAAGTCTTTTGGGGGCTATCGGGCTATGGGGCTATAGGGCGATGGGGCTGTGGGGCTATAGGGCTATGGAACTATAGAGCCATAGGGCTACAGGTCTTTGGGCTATAGGGCTATAGGGCCATAGGGCTATAGGGCTGTAGGGCTATAGGGCAATGGGCCTCTGGGGCCATAGGGCCATAGGGCCATAGGGCCATGAGTCTACAGGGCTATGTGGCTACAGGGCTATAGGACCATAAGGCTATAGCGCTATAGAGCTATGGGGCTATAGGGCCATGGGGCTATAGGACTATAGGGCTATAGGCATACAGAGGTACATGGCTATAGAGCTATAGGGCTATAGGGCTATAAGGCTATATGGTTATAGGGGTATAGGGATATAGGGCTATAGGGCTATGGGGCCATCGGGCTGTCGGGCTATGGGGCTATAGGGTTATAGGGCTTTGGGGCCATAGTGCTATAGGGTTATAGGGCTACAGCGTTCTAGGGCTATAGGGCTATAGAGCTAAAGATCTATAGGGCTCTAGGGCTATAGGGCTCTAGGGCTATAAGGCACGCAGGCACTGGGGCACCCAGGCACCCGGGCGGGCCGCGGAAATCGGTGGCAAACCTCACCTAATCATATGAATCCGCTAGGACCCCTACGGAAGCAAGCTCTGATAGGGGAATATGGAGGGCGGGTGGTTTCAAATTGTGCCTGTCGCCTTGGCGCCGCGCACGTTCGTTCTAGATAGGGCTATGGGGCTATACGGCTATAGGACCATAGGGCTATAGGGTTATAGGGATATAAGGCTAAGCGGCTATAAGACTCTAGGGCTATAGGCATCTAGAGCTACAAGGGCTATAAGGCTGTAGGGCTGTAGGGCTATAGAGCTACGGGGCTCTGGGGCTATGGGGTATAGGGTTGTAAGGCCTGAGGGCTATGAGTGTACAGGGCTATAGGGCTATAGGACCATAGGACTACAGTGCTAAAGGGATATAGGGCTATAGGGCTACAGGCATATTCAGCTATAGGGTTATAAGGCCATAGGGCTATATGGCTTTTGGGCTATAGGGCTATCATGCTATAGGGCTACATGACTATAGGGCTGTAGGCCTCTAAGGCACCCGGGCACCCGGGCCCCAGGGCGGGCCGCGGAAATCGGTGGCAGAGTTCACCTAACCATATGAATCCGCTAGGACCCCTTCAGAGGAAAGTTCTGATGAGGGAATATCTGAGGTTGCGGGGTGAGATCAGTGGAACGGAGATCCCGAACCGGGAAATCGTTTCGTTTCGTTCGTGTCGTGCGTGCGAGCGAGGCGAAGCTGCGTGGGCGCGCGAGGCATTAACCCGCCGTTGCTAGGGCGAAGTCAAGACAAATGATTCTCCCCCGTCCGTCCGTCCGGCGGTGGCCCGCGGTGGCCCGCGGTGGCCCGTGGTGTCCCGTGGTGTCCCGTGTGTTAGGGCGAAGTCAAGACAAATGATTCTCCCCCGTCCGTCCGTTCGGTGGTGGCCCGCGGTGTCCCGTGGTGTCCAGTGGTGTCCCGTGGTGTCCGCTGTTGCTAGGGCGAAGTCAAGACAAATGATTCTCCCCCGTCCGTCCGTCCGGCGGTGGCTCGCGGTGTCCCGCGGTGTCTCGTGGTGTCCCGTGGTGTCCCGTGGTGTCCAGTGGCGTCCAGTGGTGTCCCGTTGAGTGATCGATAGTGAGATCGATAGTGAGATCGATATTGAGATCGATACCGCGATCGATGTGGTGCCCCGAGTGTCCCGTGGTGTTCCGTGGTGTCCCGTTGAGTGATATCGATAGTGAGATCGATAGTGACATCGATATTGAGAGATCGATACTGAGATCGATGTTGTGCCCCGAGGTGTCCCGCGGTGTTCCGAAAAGTGAGATCGATAGTGAGATCGATAGTGAGATCGATTGATGTCCCGGTTTGTCTCGTGGTGGCCCGTGGTGTCCCGTTGAGTGATCGATAGTGAGATCGATAGTGAGATCGATGTAGTGTCCCGCGGTGTCCCGTGGTGTCCCGTGGTGTTCCGTGGTGTCCCGTTGAGTGAGATCGATAGTGAGATCGATAGTGACATCGATATTGAGAGATCGATACTGAGATCGAATGTTGTGCCCCGAGGTGTCCCGCGGTGTTCCGAAAAGTGAGATCGATAGTGAGATCGATAGTGAGATCGATTGATGTCCCGGTTTGTCTCGTGGTGGCCCGTGGTGTCCCGTTGAGTGAGATCGATAGTGAGATCGATACTGAGATCGATGTTGTGCCCCGAGGTGTCCCGCGGTGTCCCGTGGTGTCCCGTGGTGTCCTATGGTGTCCCGTTGAGTGAGATCGATAGTGAGACTGACAGTGAGATCGAGAGGTGTCGCGCGGTGTCCCGTGGTGTCCCGTGGTGCCCCGTGGTGCCTCGTGGTGCCCCGTTGAGTGAGATCGATAGTGAGATCGACAAGTGTCTCGCGGTGTCCCGTGGTGTCCCGTTGAGTGAGATCGATGGTGATATTGATTTGATTGAGTCAGATGTTGGTTCCCCCCCTCTCCCCCCCCTACAACCAACCTCTTGATCACCCGAAGGGTGGTCGTATAGATGGGGAGTTCTGGGATGTGTGTCTACCTATTTGTGTGTGTCCATGCCTTTCAAAAACGAGCGACCAAGCAGCCAGGGGTGATCCTCGAGGGGCGGGACCAGAGGGGAGGGAGGAACAGCAGCAGGGGGAGGAGGAAGAGGAGGTCGAGGACGAGGAGGGGGAGGATGAGACTCCCTCTCCTGCTCCCTCCTTCCCCCTTCCCCCCTCCCCCCACGCGCGCGCAGGAGAGGGATGCGGAGGAGGAGGAGGAGAAGGAGGAGGAGGAAGACGAGGAGGAGGAGGAGGAGGAGGAAGACGAGGAGGAGGACGACGACGACGCGCACGGGGAGGAGCTCTTACTCCCCCTCCACACCCGGTTCATGTTCCCCCGCCTGTGGTTCTCTTGCGGCCGTTCGGGGGTCCTCTTGGGCAGTCTTGGGCCCCCCAGGAGCCGTTTGGGGGCCCTACTGGGCTCTTGGAGCGAGATTGGGGACCTCATGGGCCGTCTTGGAGCTTCGGAACCCGAAAGGGCGAGGACGGCAGAATATGTGTAAAGTTTAGATTCAAGCAACATCTATGATAGTGGCCTCTTGGAGTGCTCTTTGGGCGTCTTGGGGGTCTCTTGGACCGTCTGGAGGCCGTCTTGGGTGTCTTGGAGCGTTCTTGGGATGTCTCGGAGCCCTCTTGGCCCGTGAGGGGGTCTCGTAAGCTGGCGTCGGCAGGTTTGTCGTCGCCCTGGACCCCTTGTTCTCCCATCTCTTACTGTTTCTCGGGTCGCTATCCCCGTACGTTTCCTCGCAGCTCGTATCTTGTCGCAGTTGGTGTGCCTTCGCCCTCCGCTCCACGCCAGAACACTCTCGTCGCTCTCCCGCGCCTCCTCGCCTTTCCACTTCAGCATCGGCCCCAGGGCCGTACCAGGGGCTCGCTGCCAGCAAATGCTCGACGCAGGCCCACCCATGGGGCCACGAGGGCCCCCCGGAGAGTCCAACAGCGCCAAGGACGCCCGAAAACCCCACTGCCACCGATCTTCCTCGGCCCTCGATCCCCCATCTAGCAGCATGGGCGGGTGGGATGATGCTGAGGTGAAGGGGGGGTGATCTGCCTCGAGCTCCCTGCCTGGTCCTCTGTGATCGCGGCGCTGGCGCCCTGCACTGGCCTTGAGACCCTGCTCTCTGACCGGACATGGCCTGGGTCGATCTGCTGACTGGAGCGGGGGGCGCGCTCCGCACCCGCGTTCGGCACAGGCAGAGTCGATCCTCTCCTCCCCTTTCTCGGAGGTGGACAGACCTCCTACCCTGACACGCCGATTGAGGAGTTGGCCGTTTTCGGTTCGCGAGAGGGCGTCGCGGCCGTCATTTTTGCGGGTCCAGGTCCGTCGGTTTCGGTCCCCGGCCGTTTTCATTAAGGGGAGGTTTACTAAAGGGAGGTTTCTCCACCGCCGACTTTCTGACATCGCCCGCTCCTCACCTTTCTCGGCGGCGAGCGAGGGGGGGAAGTGCGAAGGAGAGGGCCTTCTCGGAAGGCGGCGGGGCTTCCCAGAAGCCTTCCCAGTCTTCCGAGAAGAAGACTTTAGCAGAAGGCCGGAGGACTTCCGAGACTTCTGAGAAGGCCCGCCCCCTCTCACTTCCCCCCCCCCCCCGGGCTGGCCGCAGACGTTCTCAATGTGTCGTTTCCTTAAACCAGCGGTGCCCTGAGTTGTCCAGCACGCGGTCCCAAGAGCCCCCGACCCCGTCCCATGGACCTGGAGCTCGTCTCGGATGCTCTTTTCACATGGCCCTGGAGCTTTAGAGCGGCTTCGGGAGGCGACACGAACACGGGAACAAGCATTAGCTTTGATGGTTCCAAGACGTTGGGGTTGGGGGTCCCCTGGTTCCTAGAGGCTGGAGGACCCCCTGGCTTCTCTAGGTCTGCGTTTCGGCCAGAACTTTGTGGCGGATCCAGCCGTGGCCACGAGGTCGCCTCAGGCACTCCAATTAAGTGCCAAACAGCTCTTCGGGGAACGGGAAGCGGCAGGAGGGGGAGCAGGAGGAGGACGAGGAGGACGAGGAGGAAGAAGGATGATGAGAAGGAGGAAGAGCAGGATAGGGAGGACGACTAGGACGAACGGTAATTACAGGTTTGCACCTAGAGTCCGCTCAACGCCAAAAAAAGAGCAGGAGGACGTCGAAGAGGAGGAGGAGGAGGAGGAGGAGGAGGAGGAGGAGGAGGAGGAGGAGGAGGAGGAGGCGTCGAAGACGGTTGGCCGAGGTCGCCACGACCATCTACGGCGATATCACGCAGAACGACCACGGCTCCGGCGTGGCGGCCACCCTCTCCACCGCCACCGGGGCGCACAGCCTGGGAGGCGACGTCACGATCGCCAGTGGCAAGGACGCCGCCGCCGTCGTCTACGGCCCGAATGCAATGTTCTGCCACGCGCAGAGGGGGGTAGGGGGAGGAGGGAGGGCTTCGCAGACACACCCTTGCTTCTCAGAAGGCGCGGGCCTCATCCGTAGACGTGAGGCTGGCGCCCGCTGAGGAGCGGCCTCTCGCTGCAGGAAGCTTCCCCCTGCCCCCTGCCCCCTCCGCACGCGCCGCCCAGCAGTCGCAGAGTTCGAGGTGCCAGGGTCGAGTTTTTGGCTGCGCTTCCGTGCGCCCGGGTTCTGGTGTTATGTCGGGCGTGTCCCCCTACAGGGGGATTTTCGACGAAAAATTGTAAAAAGTACCCCAAAAATACCTCCAAAAGGCCAAAAGATCTTCAAAGAATAGTCCCCAGTTTATTTTTGGACCATTTTTTGATTATTTGTGGGGTGCTTTTCGTCGAAAATCCCCCTGTATGGGGGACAGGCCCGACTTAATTCTGGTGTGCCGTCGTGGCCACGCCCGGGTGCGCCGCAGATCCCTCTCGCCGCGGCGGGCCCCCGGGGGGTCGGCCGGACGGCCGCCCGCCCGCGTCGGGGTCGGGAGGTACCGGGAGGCAGGCTGTGCTCGGATGGTGCCGCGGCTGCCTCCAGAGAGGCTCCCGGAGGCCCCGCGGGCCTCTGGAGACTTCGGAGGTGGACAGACCTCCTACCCTGACACGTCGATTGAGGAATTGGCCGTTTTCGGTTCGCGAGAGGGCGTCGCGGCCGTCATTCTTGCGGGTCCGGGTCCGTCGGTTTTGGTCCCAGGCCGTTTTCACTAAGGGGAGGTGTGCTAAAGGGAGGTTTGTCCACCGCCGAAGACTGCCGGGAGGACGACGACGTGCACGAGCGGGATTACGTCGGGCCTGTCCCTCGTACAGGAGGAGCACAAAAATATAGCAAGCCAAGAAGATGTATGGGGACGACTTTCCGACCATGTTTGACCATTTGGGTGCATTTGTTTGACTATTTTTTTTTGTTTTTTTTATTTGTTCGTCCAAAATCCGCCTGTAGGAGGACGTGCCCGACCTGAGAGCAGGATGACGGCAGGCGGCGATCAGTCCAGACCTCCCGAAGGACCTGACGCTGGTGTCCACGGGGTCCGGCATGTTTACGACGGGCACGGGGCAGATCACCCTCAACGGCGACGTGAGCCAGTCAGGGGCCACGGCATTCTCGACAGGAGTCACGGGATGCCCTGAAGGAGGAGATGGATGAATCGAGGATTGAGGATCTTCCATTCCTCGCGCGGGCGCGCGGGGCGAGGAGGAGGAGGCGGAGGAGGCGGAGGAGGAGGCAGAGGAGGAGGTGGAGGTGGAGGTGGTGGAAAAGGAGGAGGAGGAGGAGGAGGAGGAGGAGCGAGGTTCGAGGATCATCGAGGATCATCGAGGATCGAGGGTCGAATTGTTTCACGCGTGTGTTGTGTTGTCCCTCGTGAGCCTCCAGAGGCCTCTGGAGGCTTCTGGGGACCTCCTGCGACCTCGGAGACCGAGTGTTCGGGACGTCTCTCTCCTTTCCAGGGTCTCCTGAAGGCTGCCCGTCGCCGCGCCTGGCGTCCACTTCGAAAGCTTCGGAGCTTCCTGCATCCCCACCGGCGCCGAATGTCACAGAAGCACAGACATTCAGGAGGGGAAAAAACACACACAGACACAATTAATCATCGATTCCCTAGAAAATATGGGAAAATATGGGAAGTGGGGGGGGGGAAGACAGAAGCCAAGAAAATTTAGGAAAATATGGGGAATCTGTTTATTTGTGTGTATTTCTTTGTGTGTCCTGGAGCCCCTCCAGACATGGATTGGAGCGCGTGGATCAGTGATGGGCCCCGTTTCTATGCAGATTTGGCGCGCTCCGTCGCCAAATCGGGGGGCGTTGGCCCGCTGTTTCGGGGACGCCTTCCCGATCCATGCCGGCAGCTTGGCTACGCCACGCGATGCGAGCCTGAGGAGGAGCAGGAGAAGGAGGAGGGGGAGAGGAGGAGGAAGAGGAGGAGGAGGGGCGGGACCTTGGATGGCGGTGATGATGATGATGATGATGATGATGATGATGATGATGATGATGATGATGATGATGATGATGTTGCCAATGATGATGATGATGATGATGATGATGATGATGATGATGATGATGATGATGATGATGATGATGATGATGATGATGATGATGATGATGATGATGGTGATGCTGGTGATGCTGGTGATGCTGGTGATGCTGGTGATGCTGATGCTGATGCTGATGCTGATGATGCTGATGATGATGCTGCTGATGATGAGGAGGAGGATGTTTGACATCCACTGCCACCGACCCCCTCTACAGGGGGCATGAAGTCGAGACGTCGACTGTGATCCGAGACCGCTTGGGGTGGGATCCCTTGCCCAACAGTCTCGAGCTCTCGGACTTCTGAGTCTGTACGCGAGGAACGCAAACGGTCGCAATTTTAGCGACCCTGCCACCATTGTAAAGGAGCCACACCGTTGGCAGATGCAAACGAAAGAGAACCACTGCAATCAACTACAACGAAAATGTGACCCAGATCGCGGAGCGAGGCAGCAAGGTGCAGACACCAGGCGAAGGCTTCGACAGCGAACGAGCGCATCGAAGACAACGAAAACATTGCCAGAATGAGCGGAGCGATTGTCCAACTAGCTCTAATTCTTGAGATGGCCTCGGATCTTTCACCCGCGGGGGAGGGGCCTCAGAAACACGAAAAACACCCCCAAGGTCGGTCCGAGGCCATCTCTCCACCAGGTTGGCGGCCAACCTGGTCACAGCTCTCGAAACGGCACACAACAATTGGATCCCTTCAGCCTCTGCATCCGGGATGCGAGGGTGAAAAGCGGCTCCTTCTTTGACCGCTACATGCGCAGTCTATCATCCATTGACAGGGTTTCATCCTCCTGCTTGTGGGTTCGAACCTTGACCACTGGCCGTAAGAAAAACCTTGCCCAAAAGAGTCAACTTGCATCACCGGCACACCAGAAGGCCTAAAAGGGTGCAAGCGGTCCCTGGGAGGTTGCGAAACATGGTTCACGACCGCAAGGTAATCAGAGTGGAAAACCAAATCCCCTACCAGAAGCGATGCAGCAACAACAGGAGCCGCAAACTCTGCAGAGACACTAGTTTCGGGGAGCGAGGTGCCAAGAGGCCCGAAACATCTAGCCAGGATACGTCCAGCTTCACTGAACCAGACCTCTCCCCAGCCCGATCGAGACAGCTCCTTGATAACAAACCGAATACAGCTATCGTCGTCATACAGCCCACCCTTACGCTCACGAGCCCGAAGGTCAGGCGGAGGCAGATCTTCCTCGGCAAAAGCCTTTGGGAATACTTGGGACCCGATGGCTGCCATGGCCTCGTCAATGCTGGAAGGCTGAGCGACGTCCTTGGAAGGGTGCATGAATAGGCCTGTCTCTCAAAGGGACATTCAATCCTCGCGGCGGCTCGGCGAAACACGACCGCGCACGCTCCAGGAGGCTCTGGCCGACGGTGCTCAGCCGCTTCTCCCCGCAACGATCGCAGAACCGCAGCCGGTGCACTATCGTGTCCCTTGCCGGATCGCAGAGCGGGCAACGGTCAACAACCAGATATCCCTTGGCCACACACTTAGACAAGGGCCAGATAGCTCGTCTCGCAACCGCCCTAATGCCCCCTTTTTGTTTTGGAGGGCAAGATCGTTTCCCGAGGGCAACGCTCTCGAGACAACATCGAATCAAACGCAGGTTCCATCGAGAGTTTTAGAGCCCACCCCGACCTCGAGCCATTTCAGGACCGAAGGCTTAAGGAACTTCCTTAAACGAGCAGAAAACGAGGTGATGATAGGGACGGGTTTGTCGTCTTCACCGAGCAACGTAAAGAGATCAGACATGGACCAGCTTATCCGATGGAGCGACATATACATAGCACCACTAGGGCCCTTCACAGACGGCCAGGACCTCGGAGGAGCAGCCCAAGTGGAACAAGCCTTCCGGATCTGCTCCCAAGAAAGAGTCCTAGAGGTCACCTTCATTTGAAGAAGCCAAAGTTCATGACCACAACGCCAATAAGAGAAACACTACCAGACCAAGCTGGACCATTCTCCAGGCGTGCATGACTAGATAAACTTCGCTCTCCACAGGCAGGGCGGCTGACAGGCAATCATACGGCGCACGCGGGCCAACTCCCCGTCGGACACACCATGCACTTCCGCGCCGCACAGCAGGCCAGCGAGAGGTCCCGAAACAAAAACGTGATCTGCCCGGCGACTGAGCACAGTGCGCAGGCTCGCTAAGCGCCTGGACCTGCGGGCAGCAGCTGACACGCCGCTCTTCGCCTTAGCGTTTCGGCCGCGGGCCCGTCGCGGCAAACCTCCGGCGACGTCGACACCGAGGTTAACCGCGGTCTCCCGTCTGGGCCCACGAGGGGCACCGAACGTTTCTTGCAGAAGGGCAAGGATCACCCGAGACGAGGACGCAAAAGTCATTTAGTCCATGGGGATCTGCGCTTTCATCATTCGAGCGACGGCGATGCGGGGGGCCTCGGCGGCCAGAGAGATGCTGGAAATGACGTGCTCCGCCGTGCCCTCGCAACTGATCCCCGCGTTGTCGATATAAACATCGAGCGCAGTGCACAGCGGCAACATAACAACAGAGTCGCGAGCTTCCAATCCGAACGGCCTGATCAACGTCGTCGCCATCGAACAGCCCGCGACAACCCCGAATTGAGCATAGAGCCCAGCGGGCCCCACTCCCCACAAGCCCATGCGTCGCGCAGAGCGGCAGGCGGCACGACGGACCCCGAGCCGAACCGGGATAACGTTAAGGCGGCGACCCCCTTCCAGCAGCACGAGGGGGATCTGCTCGCGGCATCTAGGCATGTCCTAAGACATTCCTCCCGGATGAAGCTTGGAGGACGTGCTGGTTTCAGACCTCACCGTTTGACGCCGCGCCGCGTCCGTCTACGAACGGTGCTTCCCCGCGGCCCAGCGGGGCCATGCGTGCTCGAGCTCCCAGGCCTCCCCGGCTACGGTGCGAGTTGGAAAACACCCCGATGGACCGAACACCTGGGGCGCTGTTGGGATTAGGGTTACGATGAGCGCCCTCAGCTGCTCGGGCAGAATGGCCGACGACTCAACCACTTGAAACGGCAACGCCAGGCACCCGAGCGAGGTGTCAGACAGAAATGGCAATGCCTCATGTGGAAGCCACCCAGAGCCACTGCCGAGCGCCCCAAGAACGATTTAGACATGAACCTGATGGCGTCGGAATGAATCAGCGGAAGAGGGGCCAGTTTCTTGCCCCAAAACTTTCAAGGCGCGTCGCTGGCCCTCCAGAGAGCCCCGAACTTTTTCGTCCCCGCTCAGAGGAGCTCGGAGGGGTCGGAAACAAGGGAACCGGAACGATTGCGCGTACTCGTCGGGCCCGGGGCGTCGCAATCAAAGGAGAGGTCCGCGGGGTCCAAAAGCCAGGCCTTGACCGCCATGGTGACTTCTCCGCGCAAAGCATCTCGCGGGCCTTGGTTGTCCCGCACCAGTAGGGCTGGGTCGGAGAGGACAGCGCAGACGCCCCGCAGCTGGCGAGACTCGTCCGCGCCGGCCGACCCGTCGGATCGGAGCCGAAGAAACACCTGGCAGTTGGAGCGCAGCCATCTCATGCTTCGGAGCTCGGGGCAGCGATGGGGCCCCGCGGCCGCGCCCCGAGACTGGCCGCCAACGCCGGCGCGCCCACTTACCCCGAGCACCATAGTAGGAGAGGGCGATTCCCATCACACCACACAGCGCCAGCTCCGAGGTAGTGGCCGCGGCCAAGAGGGGGCTCTCGAGGACATCCCACCCGCCCCTTCTGGGCCCTCACCACGGCCTCACCCACCAGAGACCCACGCCGCTCGCAACGCGGCGGCTCGGGCGACGGGCCACGGGGGGGGGCCGCCGACATCGGGGCAGGCTCGCGGAAGGAGAGGGCGCGGAGGCCAGCGAGCCCCGCGGAGAATTTCGCCCTGGCAGGAACGCGAGGGGCGGGCGCCGACGTCCGGGGGTCGCCGAACACCTTCTCGATAGCTTGCGACAGGCCGCTGGAGACCACGAAGTACTCGCAGCACTTGGGCTCGCCCGCGCCGAAGCACGCGGGCCCGCCCGTCTCCGCGAGCTGAGCCTCGAGGTGATGCGCGAACTCGCAATGCCGCGGCACAGATGGCCCATGATTAATATCG